GTGTCACCCGGCGGGACCAGGGGCACGGATGTCAGAGGTGACATCTGTCACCCAGCACTCCCACAGCCACCCCAGGGCCGTGCCGGGGTCCTGCCTGGGCTCCCCTCCCAGGACCGTGTGCGGGTCCCCGTGTGGGGCAGGACCAGCCGCTGCCACCCCCAGGGGCAAATCCGAGTCACCGGGGTCAGCGTCGCCAGACTCGGGGCACGAGAGAGGCTCTGGGGACATGGCAGGGGTGCAGCTGAGCCCCTCGACCCCGCAGCGGGCACAGAGCCCGTTTGCTGCCCTCCTCCTGCTCAGGGATCCCCATCCCTGGGGCGCCGGGAAGGGTCCCGGGCGCTGCCCCCGGCCCGGCTGTCACCTCACGGCCACCCGGGCACGGGTGATCGATCGCTGGAGCCACCCCGGGAGCTGCTGCCACCCGCTCGTGTCACAGCTGGACCCGCGCCGCGAGCTGCCACCCCCGGGTCACCTCATCTGTCCCCGGGGCCCGGCAGCACTTTCCCTCTCCCTCTTCCTCTCCCTCTTCCTCTGTGCTGGCTCCCGGCCCTGGGAACACGGGAGAAGTTTTAATTAGCTTAATTGCCTGCTGGCTGAGGCCCCGGGGCAGGGCGGGGGTTGCGAGCAGCACCGGCAGCGCCGCTCCGGTCACCCGCTCCCCAAAAAGCGCCTCTGGCTGCTGGGACCCCCCCGCCCTGTCCCCGAGCAGCGCCCGCCGTGTCCCGGGACCCCCAAACCGAGGGGCCGCTCCCCCATCCCTGAGCCCCCCGGGACCCCCTGGCACCCCCCTGGCCCCGGAGCCGTGTCCCGCCGGGCAGCGGTGACAGAGCCGCTCCGGGACACCGGGCCCCGCGGCCGGGGACGCCGAGGTGCCCGCGGGGACGGCGGCGAGCCGCCGGGAGAGGGAAGGACCCGCGTCCTCAGCCTGCGGCCACCTCAGGGTCCCCAGGGTGCCCCGTGCCACCAGCGTCCCCGGTGCTCCCAGTGCTCCCAGTGTCCCCGGTGCTCCCAGTGTCCCAGTGTCCCCAGGGTCCCCAATGTCCCCAGTGTCTCCAGTGTCCTCAGTGCTCCCAGTATCCCCAGGGTCCCCAGCGTCTCCAGTGTCCCCAGGGTCCCCAGGGTCCCCAGTGTCCCCAGAGTCCCCAGTGTCCCCAGGATCCCCAGTGTTGCCAGGGTCTCCAGTGTCCCCAGTGTCCTCAGTGTCCCCAGTGTCCCCGGTGTCCCCAGTGTCCCCAGGGTCCCCAGTGCTCCCAGTGTCCCCGGTGTCCCCGGTGTCCCTAGGGTCCCCAGGGTCCCCAGTGCTCCCAGGGTCCCCAGTGTCCCCAGTGTCCCCAGTGTCCCCAGGGTCCCCAGTAGCAGCTCTCGCCCGAGAGGATCCGGGCACACGGCAGGGCCGGGCTCTGCACGTGCCTTGTGTCCCCGTGCCCCGCCCTGTCCCCTCCCCCGTGTCCGGTGTCGCGGGGCTCCCTGTGCCCGCTGCTGTCGCTGCGGGTCCCGCACAGCCCCCGCCGCCGTGTCACCCGCTGCCACCACGGCCCGCGACACCGGCAGCCGCCAGCGGTCCCTGCAGTGCCAGCCCCGCGGTGCCAGTGCCAACCCTGCGGTGTCCCCGTGCCCGTCCCACCCTGGCACAGGACAGGTCACACCCACCCAGCCCCGGGCGCCGCCAGGGTAGATCAGCCCGCTTTTCCTGTTGCCACCCTCCGGCACCGCTCCGCTCCCACGTCCCCGCTGTCACCCGTGCCGGGTGCCCATCCTTGGGCTGCCACCCCGCTGCTGGCCCCGTGTCGCTGTCCCGTGGGGTCACCGCCGGCAGCCAGCGGGTGTCCCCCGAGCTGTGCCCGCACAGACCCCGCCGTGCTGGCTGTGGCTCCACGCTGGGACACGGACACGCAGGCACGTGGGGACACGGGCACGGCCACGCCGGTGCCAGGCCCCCACCCAGCTGATAGCCGAGCCGTGCCCGGGGCACACGGCACAGGGACACCCGCGGCTCGGTGCCACCGGGCACCGCTGGCCCGACACCGTGGGCGTCCCCGGGAGCCGCCCGTGCCCTGGGACCCCCCAGCCTTTCCCGGTGGGGTCTGCCCGGGAGCGGGCCCGGCGCGGCGTGGGGGGCTCCGTGGGCGCCCCGCGGCCGTG